AGTAAACAGCCTGTGAAATCGGTTCGAGTGGCTTTTTGGTGCAAATATGGTGCAAGAGGAGTGAAACTTCGAAGTCTTGTGCCCAAAGTGAATCTCCTCAATAGGCCGATGCAGTTTTTATGTTTGCTTTATACTAAAATCCCGACGAGACAAATAAATAATAACCTGCGGACGCGCCGCATGATTTCTGCAGTGACTCCTGGTAGTTCGAGTACTTTTTAACTGGATGTTTTAGACGTTTGCGAGAGTCGCCCCTGTAAATCCTGCAGTTATTTCAGGCTTTGAAGCTACAGGTCTGAGACCTGCTATTTCTCAGAGAGCAACTCAGTTTAAGGTTTGCTGTTAATTTTGATCTCCAGTGTTTGACGCTGCTATGCTGAATCAAAGGAATCATCATATACATCTTATAAGGATGTTAAACTGATGGCATGATAGAATGTCTGCAAATCTTAGAACCCTAAAGCAGAGATATTAAAGTCATTTTACATCATGGGCCACATACAGTCCAGATGAGAGAAAGTCCTTTCTTTCTCCAGCCTGCTGAATTATCCCCATAAGAGAGAAAACAAGTACTATTTCAAAATCATGTCTCAGTGTGCTTATATAGAAATCTGTCAGCACGACTGTGTAATAAACTGTAAGTAATAAATGTGTAAAATTACAGAAAAAGTAGCTCATTGCCCAGACTGTCCTCTAACAAAGAAACAAAGCTTTTGCTTCCTTTGTTCCCTTTTTTCTTTCTTTTTTTAAGCTGTGTGGACCAACTGTTAAAAAAAACAAATCAATCGAAATTTCTAGTGTAGATAGTGAAAAATCGGAAACTTTTCTGCAGTTATTACTTCTTTGGTGTAGTATGAATGAATATGGTGGATTTCAAGCTTGCTTGCTCTTGAATCTCTTGACAAAGAAGGAGTGAGGGGTCACAAGACAAAAACAACTGAAAGTTAGATTGTCTTCTCTTTGCTCTGGTGTAAAAGAGAGGACACCAGCTGGAAGCCTTGTGGAGAGGAGCAGTGACCTGGGTGCCACTGCTCATCCACCAGCTGGAGAGTGTTGTGGATAAGGATCACACTCACTGCTGCGCTCAGCTTTGCTTCGCAGAGTTTCTAACTGAGTGAAGAGACCCAGAAGCATCTGCCAGACCCAGCTCAATCGTCTAAACGCAAAGAAATTAATTACGTCCTTCAGCGTAGGACCCACTGGACCATCCTTTATATAAGTACAGAAGTGACACATACAGATGATGTAAATTACTGTCATGTTTCCATCAGATGTAGATACGTTGAGAACCTTCAATAAAAGGGACAAAAATGAATTCTAAGCTAAAATCTCTTTGATACGAAGAGGCCTGGTTTCCCATAATTACTGTTAAACCTGGATTAAAAATGTGCTCCATAATTAACTAGCTTCATTTAAACGATCAAAGAGAATTTGAGCTTTAGCATGCCATCATTTTGAGCGCTGTTGTGTTGTAGCCTTGGAGATTATTAATAACTGTATTTCAGTAACAAATGTTGAAAGCCTTAATGAAGCCAGGAGACACGCTGGATCATGGATCATCTGGATCATTCATCACAGTGAATGGACAGGACGAGCAGGTCATCTCAACGTGACGAGCATTTTATTTTATTTAACAGCCTCAAAATTAGTTTTTCGTTTACGTTCCAACTGATGATGTGATAATCACCTGGATGTCTGCATGAAAGGTTCTGTGGA